AAGATGTTCAAAAAGTTTTAAAGTATATATACCTCCACGTTCTGCGCTTTGCCTTAACACCATGTGATATCATTTCATCCTTTTTAATAACATAACCAGCTTTAAATACACTACAAGAATAAGATGGTAAAATTTCACAACCTTCTTCTTCTTCATGTATAGTTATGTAATTTAATCCTTGTTTATGCTTAATTACATCGAAATATGAAGGCAATTCATTATTATCCTTCTCATGCGTTGTACTGGGGGCCGGATCATCATCATTATTATTAGATGCATTCACGTGTGATGTAACGTGCGATCTTCTTCCATAATTGTTAAGATAATCGGTATGTGATAAATATTTTTTAAATATATGGTGACCAATCTCACCGTTTTTTGTTCTAATAAAAGGTTTTAAATATTTTAATGCATATTATATTAGAACCATTCGATGTGATTCGTTTATAACACCGATGGATTTTAAATTTTGTTCATTAAATGTTAAAAATTTCCCTAAACTAATATCGTGTTGTTGAAAAGTTGAAAAATATATTTGATGATATAAGAATGACTTTAATGTCCTGCCTTTTTACGAAAAATTTGCGAAAAAACAAGTTAAAAAAAGAAATCAAATAAAATTGTACGTAAAGAAATGATATTTACAAAATTACCCTTACCAATTTTGATTTTGCGCATTCTACGTATTATAATAAAATTTTTATAAATATAAAAGTTTTTTTTTAAAAAAAAAAGGTTTGAAAATTCATATAGAGCTCAAAATTAATTGAATTAATTTTTATTATTTAGGGAGAGAAAAAGTAGGAAGTTGATTTTATAAAATTTTTCATGTACAATTTATATGTTTCAATGGTGTAACGAAAAAAAAAAAAGAATTTATAATCTTCTTGCGGAAATAACAGTAAAATCACACGATAATACCATATGACGAATGAGGGTTAAGATGCATAAAATTTCTTTATGTGATTTTTTATTTTTCCATGACATGATTTTAAGAAATCAGGTTTCAATTTAGACTGCACGCCCCACCTAAATCGGTATTAAAAAGATATTCCTCATTAAGAATATATATTTGTATTTTTAAATCAAAACTTTTCCTCAATTAGCACGGCTCCAATATATGTAATTCTTGAACAATGAAAGCAATATAAAAATAACAAATTGACTTAATAAGAAATTCTTATTGGTAAGCAACAAAAATTAATCAACTTAATCAGCTAAATTTATACTTAAATAACGTAGAAACGCACATACGTACATACGTACATGCCTGATTGATACCTACTGTACATACGCGCGTACATCCGAGATACAATATAAATGCTATATAGTACGTATAACGACGCCAAGAATATTAAAAATAGCATAGAAATTATGTGTTTCAAAATTATATGTAATAATTCTTAATTCCTATAACAGGTAATGTATTATGATACAGATAATGGCCCAATTTTTTAATAACAGATAAAGTAAAAATGTACATGGTACATCAAATTAAAAAATTTGCATCTGATCAAAAAATTTTAATTACTAAATTTCTTTAGGGTGAAAGTCCAAGATTATGTATCATCATATACGCATTAGCAGAAGATTAATTAATTGATGTAAATACACATAGGTTACCCAAGCAGTTGATTTATATCAGCAAGTCATACGAATGTCTTTTCTATGATGCTAATGCATGCACATCATTTGATCGACTTAACGCTAATGTAGATCATTCTCGATAAATGCACATTCGGCAAATGTGCACCGACACTTTCAATAAACTTGGGACTAATAACTCATTATTACAAGTCATGTAAATCATGTAAAAATAGCGATTATAAGAAGCTTTATTATTGTTTTCCTCTAATTAATTTACGAAACAAATAAAAATATTTATTAAACAAATGGTCTATTTTTATGAAGATAATTATATCTCCATGGTTTGTGTCGATCACGTAATTCGTCAATCACACCTGGGGGTAATGGATAATCTTTTGAAACTGACCATGTCGTTTCACTTGCAAGTTCTTTTGAGGTGTCCCATGGTGATTCTAAACAAATATAATTACCAGTTTTAAACCAACATCCTTTTTTTTTTTATAAAATTAAATTAAATTAATTAAAGATATAAATTAAACTAACTTTCTTGGTTATATTC